TCTCCAACTCCCTTGGATAGTTGTAGGCGACTTCAGTATGCCCCCACAACAGCTTGAGAGGTCAGACATTGTGAGGCGGTGGCACGCAGTGGTGTTGCAGGCAAAAAGGATTGCTACAGGTAATCTAGGCTCGGGCACGGTTATAGATTATCTTTTATGCAGTCAGTCAGCAGTGCCATTCGTTGCCGACATTAGGCCTGTCATATCGGTTCCCTGGAAGCCACGCATTGGGCTCGAGATTGTCATGCGTAGGTCAGGGGACCAGCTCCTGACAAGAATTCTGGAGACTCCAGGGCGCCTCCCGCAGGCCCCTCGACCGTGTAAGGAAGCCACTGCTGGGTCTAAGTCTTGCATGGCGAAAGCTACGCGTAGGGTGCAGCATCAGCTCGCTGTCGAGAAGCGAGCGGCTAAGTATTCTTTCTTGTTTGAGGATTGCTGTCAGAACGAGCAATCCGCTGCGATCCCAGAGGCTGGCGGTGCTGGGGAAAATGACCTGTCGGCCTCGGGGGTAGGGGAGCAGTGCACTGATCCCTTCAATTTTGATGAGTGGCCTGAGGAGGAAGATCCGTGGGCCGAGGAATTGTCTTTCTGTCCCGACTCCTCCCTCCTCCCCGCTCTCACTGTAGCGTCTGTAGTAGATAGTGAGCAAGCTAATATGCTAACTGATCCCCAGCCTGGGCTCCCTAACAGGTCTCACGAGGTCTCCAGGGACGTGCCTGATGTGGCCGAGCAGTCTGGGGAGGAGCCTTTGAGCGCTGCGGCTCCTGCTCTTGGCCATCCTCAGTCGCAGGCCCTGGATTCTTCTGGGGCTGGAGGCCCCCAGGGGCCTGGGCTGGAAGGGGGCAGCTCTGGAGGGGTCCCGTCGTTCGCTATCCCGACCGATTTGTGGACTAGGTGTAGGCGTGACGTAGGGTTCATTTCTGGGGCAGCCACTCTACAGTCCCTCGCTCCTGCTCTGCGTCAATCCGTAGCCGTTCGGCTCAAGCCCGCTGCGCTTGAGACTATTTCAGGCCTCTACGCCTCCTGGGTGCCAGCTGTCGAATCCAATTACTTCTCATCGTGGCGTGGACCTGCCGCGAGGCCCATCGAGGGCTACGGGGCCCAGGTTCACAGTGACCACAGTGATGCCCCCACAGAAGGTGCGTGCGACACCTCTGCGAGACCAGATCAGCGGCTGGTGGACGCAAGTCAACGTGCTGCTCGCAGGTCTCGTGTTTCACAAGACGAAGGACAACAGTGCTCTACAAGTCGAGCGCTACGTGCAAGGCTGTGTACGTCATCTGGCTGATCGGCCTGAGCACGTGCAGCGTGTGCTACTTGATGGACGTGATCCCCCTTGGTCGGAGTGGGAGAGGGTTCTGAGCAGCGCGGGCGAGGTGGTCACACCGGTGCTTGCGAGCTTTGAGGACAGCTCCAAGAGGATCATGGGGAGAGCCCAACGTAGAGCAGTTCAGGATAGTGTCAATGAGTTCAAAGATTTCATGGGTGAGGACGGTGCCGTTGGAACTTTACACAAGGCCCTCAATCCTCAGGCTCTGCCAAGCCTGGGCATGGTTCAGGAAGACAGTCCTTTTTTCACCCTCGCGATATGATTGACCACAAAGCTAAGTTATGGCACGACTTGTGGGCACCCGCTGCCTTGGACGAAGACGAGATCTCTCGGGCCTTCGCCAAGATTCAAGCTGCTGCTGCCACGGAGTCCTTGCCAGATATTTCAATTTCGGAAGGGAGAGGTGCTTTTCGCAAGATGAAGGGACGAGCTGGCATGGGGGTGGACATGCTTAGTCCGCTCGACTTCGAGCGCCTCCCTGACGAGGCGCTCGCCGAGCTGGTGTTGTTGTATCAGGCCTGCGAGTACCATCTCGTATGGCCAGGTCAGATTCTCTTGATTCTAGGGCGTCTCCTTCCTAAGAAATCAAATGGAGACCGCATCATAGGTTTGGTGTCGATGGTGGGCAGGCTGTGGAGCCTTATTCGGGAGCCATATGTTCGCAGCTGGTCAGCCTCGGCAGAAGCTCATTGGGACGCAGCAGTCAGGGGGAATTCGAGCCTCCGCGAGGCTTTCGTGCGGGTGCTGCAACAGGAGGTGTCTCATCACCTTGGAGCTGCCATGGGCGAGGCCCTCGTGGACATCCAGTCGTTCTACGACTCCATCGAGTGGGCACCGCTGGCCTCCTGTGCGCTGGCACTCGAGTTCCCGCCGCAGGTGCTGTACCTGGAGCTGCTGCAGTGCGTCGCAGCTCGCACGCTGAGCCAGCTTGGCGCAGCGACGCGGGCCTTTCAGCCATCGCGGAGTGTGGTCCAGGGCCTCAGGGCTGGAACACGCTTCGCCAAGGCCATGACCCACTACGTGTTGGAGGTCATCACAGTCGCTCACCCGAGAATGGGACATCGCATGGATCGACGACCTGTCGCAGTCGGCTCGAGGCTCGCGCGCAACTGTGCGAAGAGAATTGGCGGCATGTGTCGTCAACGCGTGCGAGGAGCTGGGAGCAGAGCAGTGGAAGGTCGCTTCCAGATCAGTCATCAGCTGCTCGTCGTTTTCAGGGCGCCCAGTGGGTGGCCAGGCGAGTGGCCCGTGCAGGCTACCCTGTGCAGCCCGTCAAGCAGGCCACCTACTTGGGGGTCGACATGGGCGGGGGCAAACGGATGGCTCGCGAGGCGAGGGTCAAGAGGGGCGCCAAGCACAAGGCCACGAGTGGCAAGGTGCGTCGGTATGCGTTCGTGTCGAAGAAGTATCGGGTCACGGGGAGGCTCGAGAAGCAGGGGGCGCAGGCGGCAGGGGTGCACGGGCACCAAGCCTATGGATCTTGACCCAGCGATGAAGATGCCAGTCGAGACGTTGGATTTGTGGCTGCGGACCTGGAGAGGGCAGCCCGACTTGCGGGCAGGTGTGCGACAGGCGTGGGACAGCGTCTACAAGCACATGCAGGAGCTCCCAGCTGCGCACCGAGTGCGCCATGTGAGAGGCCCCCTCACGGCCACCGTCCTGCATTTGATGGAGGCAGGTTGGGACCCGCAGCAGGCTACGTCGTGGGATCGTCCTGATAGTCACCCAGCCGCTGGGGACACGTGGAAGTTCGACGACGAGATGTACTCGGGCATTGCAGCGCTGGGCTCTCACCAGGGCTTCATCACGGATTTCAAGCAGACCTTGAAGCACGGCTTGTGGCAGAAGGCGGGCCAGCACTTCTGCGGGGCAAGACTGAGTCAGGGCGTCGACTGCGTATCGTACCAGATCTTGCTGCAGCAGCTGGTACGGCCACCGCTTGTCGGAGGTCATGCTGGCCTGCGCAGCGGGAGGCTGTTGGCCGCGGCAGCGCAAGAAGGACGAGCTAAGCAAGTACGCAGGTGCCGTTGAGTGCCCTCGATGTCGGAAAGCGCCAGAAGACATGATGCATCGGATATGGTTATGTGAAAGCAACGTCGAGAAGGCTGCGTACACCGAGTCGGACGGCCTGATTCCTCAGGCTCTCGCGCAAGGCGAGGCCGATCAGGGCTTCTGGCTTCGTGGCCTCATGCCAGCGCCCTGGACGGAGGTGCCGCCGCCTTGTGATGTTGAGGCCTGGGTTGGCACGGAGGAGCTGCTCGGGGAGGCAATCGTGGAGGGATGCGTCGCTGCAGGATCTGAGCAGGCGCCGCTGTTTGCCTGTGGAGACGCGAGCGGGGGGCCTGACACGGCCAGCCCGCTCTTCAGACGTGTAGGTGTCGCTGTGGTGGTCATGCATGCTCTAGAGCCCCAGCTGCAATTAGCCTCGGCTGTCAGAGGCCCGCTTACGGGGCCCAGGCAGTTTGTTGCTCGAGGTGAGTTGCGTGCTTTGCTCTTGGCAGTCTGCATGACCACAGGCTCCATCGTTTTCATATCAGATTGCGAACCAGTAGTTTCAGGATTTAACTGCCGCAAGTTTGAGGCGCCCTCAGGTGAGGACGCCGACCTCTGGGCGCGCCTGGGCCTCCTGCTGAAAAAGAAGTCCCAGGACGCCATCACCGTTCTTTTTGTCACCTCACACCTGTCTGCCACAGACATCGTCGAAGGGAAGGCTCCGCGGTGGATGGTGGCAGGCAATTTGATCGTGGACGAGATCGCTGGACAAGCGGCTCGGGAAGTCCGCCTGGCAGAGGCGGTCCGTAATAGGGTTTTGCTGCAGGAGAGGAAGGCTCGGCTTGTCAGGATGCGCATCCTCCGAGCCACTCTCGACTCCATGGCTGCTGAGGATAAGGAGAGGTGTGTTGAGCAGGAAAAAGGACCTGCCGCCCCGCCCCTTCCCCCGCCTCCCGCTGCTGCCTCTCTCGCCCTTCTTGCCTCGTCCCATTCTGTGGACAGCACTGGGTGCAGGTGCACCAGGTGCGGAGGATCGGCGTCGAGGGCGACCCGAACGGAATGGCTCAGGTCCCCATGTTTCTCCCCGATCAATTATAACGGTGTAATCTTTCGGAAACCTCAGGGTGCTATGATGCACATCGCGGGTGGCTATGTCCACTCTAGCCACCGAATGCAGTTTCATGGTGATTTGAAGTTGTGGTATTGCGTCGGCTGTGGCAGCTATGGCTCACAGCAGCTCTTGGCTCTGGGACGTGCGTGCGTGACTCCTCCCACCCCGCACAGGGCCGAGTATCTACGGTTGATCTTTCAGGGCTCGTGGCCAAAGGTCTTGAGCAAGGCTGAGAAAGCCACCAGGCGCAAGCGTAATGTATAGCGATGTGGAGGATTCACTGACTTAGTCATATGGTCATGCTCATGCTCATGCTCATGCTCCTCCCTCTCCTCCCTCCTCCTCCCCCTCCTCCTCCCCCTCCTCCTCCTCCTCCCTCTCCTCCTCCTCCTCCCCTCCCTCCTCCTCCTCCCCCTCCCCCTCCCCTCCTCCTCCTCCTCCTCCTCCTCCTCCTCCTCCTCCTCCTCCTCCTCCTCCTCCTCCTCCTCCTCCTCTCCTCCTCCTCCCCCTCCTCCCCCTCCTCCCCCTCCTCCCCCGTGACGAACCCCGCAGCCCCACTGGGCGCACTGCATCGCCGGCATGTCGTTCACCAGCAGCGGCACGGAGCAGTTGAACTCCTGGCGCGACGTGGCCGGGCGTCGGACGGCGGCGCCCAGCGAGGGGAGGCCTCCTAGCACCCCCCCTCCCTCCTCCTCCTCCTCCTCCTCCTCCTCCTCTCCCTCCTACCCTCTCCTCCCCTCTCCCTCTCCTTCCCTGGTCGCGTCTTCCTCGCCGTCCTCTGTGCTTCTCTTCCTCCCTCCTCCCCCTTCCTCCCCCCTGCTCCCTCGTCCTGCACCCCCCCCCCCCGCCACCCTCCAGCTCCGCCGGGCCACGGGGAGGCGGAGGGGACCCATACATGCGATGCCTTGACTGTTGCAATACGGGCCCCACGGATGCCCCGGCCCCGTTAAGACGAAGCCAGGATGAGGATAACATCGGGCGAGGATAAATCGAGAATCTCTGAGAACTGGTGGCTCTTGAAGACGTCTCGGGTGCCGCGGCCTTCGCAGCGCGTTCTGGAACGCTCTGAGAACGTTCCAGAACGCTCTGGAACGGACTTTTCCTCGGCCTCGTCCTAGCCCCGCCCGAGAGGACGAGGACAGCGGAGGGAACCCAAACATGCGATGTCTTGATTGTTTCAATACGGGGTGCCTGTATGCCCAGACCCCGTCCTTGGGCTTGGCGAGAGCCCCTGGAGGCCGAAGCCGAAAGTGGCCAAAACCCTCCCGATGTGACGGTCCTGCGACGCGAGCGCGTCTAGGAAAAGGAACTGGCCGAGGACAGGACGACGAGGAGTACAGGACGAGGAATGGGAAGGACGAAGAAGATAAGGAGGAAGAGGATGAGGATGAGGATGTGGAGGATGATGAGGATGATGATGATGAGAATGATGACAACGATGATGACGACGATGATGAGGACGAGGAGGGAAACGAGGAGGAGAAGGTAGAGGGGTGTGAGGAGGACGACGGCGCTGGGCTGGACTGCTCGGGCGCTCCTTCCGACACCACAGCTGGGCGTGCTGATACGCCTCGCGGCCGGGCGCGGGCCCCTCGATCCTCCTCCTCCGACGACGATCACGACGTCCCTCCTCCACCAAGCCCTCCTTGCTCCTCCTCCTCCTCATCCCTCCTCCTATCCCTCCTCCTATCCCTCCTCCTTCTCCTCATCCTGCTCTTCCTCCCCTTCATCCTCGACCGCATCCTCCTCCTCCTCCTCCTTCTCCTCCTCTTCACGACTTGCCCCTCTCCTCCTCCTCCTCCTCCTCCTCCTCCTCATCCTCCTCCTCCTGCTCCTCCCCCTCCTCTTCCTCCTCCTCCTGCTTCTCCGCCGCCTCGTCCTCCTAATAGTCGTCGTCGTCGTCGTCGTGCTCGTCGTCCTCCTCCGTCTTTTCCTCCGTCTCCGCCTCCCTGCTCCCTCTTGCTCCTCCTCCTCCTCAATCCTTCTCCTCCTCAACCTTCCTCCTCTTCCTCGTCCTCGTCCTCGTCCTCGTCGTCCTCCTCCTCATCCTGCTCCCTACATCCCTCACCCTGCTCTCTCCGCCGTTTCCTTTTCCGCCGCACCTTGGCCCCGCCCTCTCCTCCTTCTCCTCCTCCTCCTCGTCCTCCTCGTCCTCCCTATTCCTCCTCCTCAACAATTCCACATCCATCTCTTCCGTCGTCTCCTCCCTCTCCTCATCCGCCCTCCGCACCATACTCCGAATCCTGCCCCTCCGTATTTCCTCCACCAGCTTCTGTTCTTCAATCGTCATTCCGCACTCCTCCTGTTCCTCCTCCTCCTGTTCCTCTTCCTTCTCCTCCTCCTCCTCCTCCTCCTCCTCCTCTTCCTCCTCCTCCTCCTCCTCCTCCTCCTCCTCCTCCGCCGCCGCCGCCGCAGCCGCTCCCGCCCCCCCTCCCCCCTCGCGCGCTTCCGCGCGCGCTCGGGGGGACGAGGAGGAGGGGGGGGAGGATGGGAGGGGAGAGTGGGGCAGGATCAGCCAGCATCGAATCGGGAAAGCGGATCGGATCGGAACGAACATCTGATCGGGCTGCATCGGTGCCCACCTGACACCGAAGCCGGCCTGGCTGCGCCAAGGTGCACCACCAGGCCGTGCAAGCATGGGGCCGCACCAGATCGCCCGCAAGTCGAAGTCGAATCGGGTCGAGCTGGGTGAACTCGACATCCAATCAGACCGATCGGACCGCAGTGGGCCGGGCACTGGATGGGGGGTGGGCGGGGCGGCAAGGGGGCGGGAAGCACCCCGGGCGGCGGGGCGGCTGCCGGCCTGCGACCCGGGCCACAGAGCCGGGCTGGCGCGACGAGCTCCATACGCATCCACTGCCCCTGCGGAGGGCTGTAACGGGTGAGTCGTCCCCGAGATGGGGTTCGGGCGTTGGCAGAACTGGCTTTAGTGGAACCTGGTTTAGTGATGTGCACTGAGGGGCGCCCCCCCGCCCCGTTCCACTGACCGGAACTGTCGTCACCCGAAAAAACACCAGCTACGGCAGACCTGGTTTAATGATTCTGGCCAGTGTAGGGGCTGGGGCCCTACTACTGACCGGGTCCCCTTACCTGGGGTCCTGGCTATACCCGAGGGGTGCCAACTGCGCACTCTCCTGCCCGCGCGTCTTGCCGGCAGCCCGGCCCAGGGCCGGCAGTGGTGCCCTACGCGCCCGTGCTGCGAGGGCTGGCGCGTGGCCCCTGGCCGGGCCCCTGCTGCGCCCAGGAGCGGTGCACCATGCGCCTCTCAGCTCTGGCCAGCACTCGCCACCGCTCGGACGTCCATTCCCCGTGCCTTTGCTCGGCTCCGTCGTGTACTTGGTTGTGTTGTCTTGTTGTTGTTGTTGTTGTTGTTGGTGTTGTTGTTGTTGTTGTTGTTGTTGTTGTATTGGTTGTTGTTATTGTTGCTGCTGCTGTTGCTGTTGTTGTTGGTGTTGTTGTTGTTGTTGCTGCTGCTGCTGCTTCTGCTGCTGTTGTTGCTGCTGCTGCTGCTGCTGCTGTTGTTGTTGGTGTTGTTGTTGTTGTTGTTGTTGTTGTTGTTGTTGTTGTTGTTGTTGTTGTTGTTATATGTTTGTTTGTTTTCTCTCTTTTCTCGCTCGATTATCCAAGATGTTCCTCGAGGGCCTCCGCTGAGAACTGATCTGCACGCCCGAGCCCTGGCGAGGCCCATCCTGCGCACAACAGGAGCCGTGCGCACACGCCTCCCGGCGCCCGAGGACCCGAGGAGGCACGCCCGCGGGGCGCGCTGCTCTTCCTGCCTGCAGCGGGTCGCGAGAGGCCCGGCGGCGGGCGGAGAGGAAGGAGAGCCCAACGTCGAATCGATAGGCCGATCGACATGAGAAGTCGAATCGGATCGGGTGAGAAAGAATCGGATCGAGAAGTCAGACCGATAATCGAATCGAAGTGTATGATAAGAGGGGAAGGCATCGGATCGACAAGTCGATCTCAGTGCATCGGATCGGCGGAGATCGGCAGCCGCGCCGGGAGGCATCGGATCGATCGGCGGACAGCGGCAGGGCAGCGGGCCTCCAAGAAAGCATATCGGAGCCCGCATCGGAAGCCGGCGTCGAGTCGGATCGGAATCGGAGGCCCTCGAGATCGAATCGCATCGGAGGAATGGGATCGAATCGAATCGAATCGAAATCGACTCGAAATCGAATCGAATGGGAGGAATGGAATCGAATAGGACCCCGCAGAGGAGGATGGGAGCGAGGGGGGCGGGTCGCGGGGTGGGTCGCGGGGCGGGTCGCGGGGTGGGTCGCGGGGTGGGTCGCGGGGCGGGTCGCGGGGCGGGTCGCGGGGTGGGTCGTGGGGTGGGTCGTGGGGTGGGTCGTGGGGTGGGTCGCGGAGTGGGTCGCGGGGTGGGTCGTGGGTGAAGCGAGGGGGGGGTCACGGGCGAGGACGACGACAGCAGCAGCAACAACAATGACAAGACACATGCCAATAACAGTAACAACAATATCAATCACCACCACAACAACATAAACAGCAACAGCAACAGCAACAAGAACACCATCACCAACAGCATCACTAACAACACCATCAACAACACCAACAACAGCAACAGCAACAACAACAACACCAGCAGCAGCAACAACCTCACCAACAACAACAGCAGCAACAACAACATCAACACCATCAACACTTACATTAGTAACAACAGCAATACATGTAATACTGTTCGCTCTTATCTGCTCGCGTGCCATTCAACACGTATATCCCAAACCCTCAATACCCACCCTCGCCGTAATCGATCGTATCCCCTTGGGGTTTATCGTTCTTACCTGCAGCGTGTATTTCGTGCAAGGGAAGAGAGGACGGACGGAAGGAAGGACAAGGGGGAGAGAGGAGGATGGAGTACGAGAAAGAGAAACAGGAGGGGGGGCTAGGAGCAGACACCATGCGGCAGAACCAGACGGTCAGATCGGGCGGGTAGACCCTAACAGGCGGGCCCAGGCGGCCAGGTCGAGTAGGCGGCTGAAGCGTGCGTCCTGCATGAATCGCGAGGAAGTCTCGAGCGACAGCGGCATTCCAAAATAAATCTCGTGAGGGAATCCAGGGCGAGAGCGTGATTCCTGAATGTCGAGGGCGCGGCGTATGAATAAACTGCGAGAGTTCCACGCGAGAGCGCGATTTCTGCACACATTGCGAGGAAACCCCGCACGAGAGCGCGATTTGGGATTCCATGTCCGAGGAAGTATCGGGCGGGAGCCTTTGATGTTGCTGTTGTAACTCGGGGGCCAGGGGCGCACTTTGCGGCTCAAGACTTTCCCTGATCAACAAAAAGGTGCGAGCCCGGGGAGGGGCAGTTCAATTGAACACCAGGCAGGGGGGGATCAACAACAATTATTCTTCAGAAGTGGGGATTCAAGAGCTGCAGCAGCAACAACACCACCAACAACAACAACAACATCCTCGACAGCAGCAACAACACCAACACCAACAACAACGACAAGTAACACATGCACCGCGTAATCCCATTTCAGCCACGCACCCAGGGACAATGAATGACCGTTCGGCCCCGTCACTCTGATGTGTGACAGCTGGCGGTCACACAAAAGAGATAAGTCGTCAGAACCGTCGATGTAGGAAGAACGTGATGTTCCACCTCTACAAGGAGGGGGCCAGGGACGCAGCGGCGCTGCGGGGGCTTCTACCGGCCTAGAATCGAGCGCGCACAAGCCATTCTGCACTGATCGAACGAAAATAAGCTGAGTGTCTGATTCGAGGGTGCCCTCCAGGAAGACGCGCAAACAAGGCAGCAACAACCTGGTCAGCAAGCTCAAGAACATGGAACAATCCAATACTTATTGACTGGCTGATGCTGACTGATTCGTGCGTCTATGATCCGCCACCGTGCTCCCAGGTACGCTGAGGTGTGGTAGAATGCCTAGGACTGTCTGGTAGTTGTCTGTCATCTTCTGAACCCCTCCCTCCTGAAAATCACAATAACGGGCATGCCCTCGCTTCCCTTGTAAAAAAGGATTGCACCTGAGAAAACCCCAATCGGTGGATGATTTGGAAATTAGACATACGGATCTTGAGGTCGATTGTGAGATCGATAATGAGATCCATAGTGGAATCGATAAAGGACGATTGTAAGGTCGATCGTGAGACCGAGAGTGAAATCGATTCAATGAGATCGATAGCGAGATCGATCGCGAGTTCGCTCGTGCGATCTCTAGTGAGATCGCTTGCGAGATCGATTGTGAGATCGATTGTGAGATCGATGGTGAGATCGATAGAGAGGTGGGAAATGAGATCGATGCTGAGACCGATCGATAAGAAGATCGACCAGGAACCAGGGGAACCTAGGAACCTCGCCGCCCATCGAAATCGACCTGGGAACTGGGAATCCGGGAATCCGGAACCTGGAACCTGGGAACCCAGCGTGCGACCAAAATCGGCGGGAAACTTTCACCAACTCCTTAACCTCCGATACGACCCCTTCAGTGCAAGCACTGATTGGGAAATCTGCGCTACCGAGGCCACGATCCCGATCCTGATAAATCCGCGCTCCAGAGGCCACGATCCAACATGTAGAACAAAAATCTACGCTCCCGAGCTTCCAAGACTACCGAGGTAGGCAAGCAAGGCCGCCAAGATGACCTAAGATGTCTCCAAGACGGCTTAAGATGACCTCAAGACCGTTTAGGAGGCCCACAAGACGGCCCGAGAATGTCACAAGAGGGCCCACCGTAGGGCCCGAAGAGGCCCCGCCAATGGATGCTCCGTATGTTTCTGGACGGCATTGGCGTCTTCACCTTCTCAGGGTTCCTTCAGCTTCAGACGGCCCCAAAGGCCTCCTATACGACCCCAAGACGGACAAATAGGCTCCTCAAACTGCGAAACAATAATCAAAAACGGCATCTGGACAGAACAGACCGAATACCGCGCCAGGGGGCCGCATCGACGGCTCGAACGGTCTCCAAGACATCCCCAGGAGACCCACGACGGCCAAGAGAGCCCGAAAGCGGCCCAAGAAACCCCAATATGGAACACGAGAGCCGGAATCCAGCCCAAGGGTGCCCTGATGCATCCCCAAGACTGACTGCACCGAGACAGCCCAACGCCGACCCAAATGCACCCGATGCGAGCTCGACACCGGGCGAAGACGAAAGGTGCCACATGTGACGGCCACCATCTTCCAACGCCACCTCACATCAGTAGCATCATCACCATCACCACCACCACCACCACCACCGCCGCCACCACCACCACCCCAGCTATCATCATCATCATCGCCACCACCACCACCATCATCATCACAATCATCACCATCATCAGATGATACATCTCCCTCTTCCGCCCCAGTCCTCCTCCTCCTCCTCCTCCTCACCCTCCTCCGCCTCATCCTCACCCTCATCCCCCTCCCCACAACAACCATCACCATCATCACCACAAGCAATGTCATTGTCGTCGTCCTCCTCCTCATTGTCATTGCCAAGTCGTCATCGTCATCGTAATCTCGAATGTCATCGTCATCGTCATCATCACCACCATCCTTGTCATCAATCGTCATTTCCCCATCGTTCGCTCCAATCCTCCTTGTCCTCCTCCTTCTAATCATCCGCATCCTATGTATCATGTTTTTTCCTGTTCCGCCCCAGCGCGACCTCGCAGCAACCCACGACAACCTCGAGACGGCTGAGGACCACGTATGACGGCCATCTGGGCGTGGAGCGGTTCCATCTGCCGTTGCACACAGCACGTGGCAAGATGGCAAAAGGAGAAACGAGGAGTATTTGGGTCATTGGGACCGCAGGGAAGGGAACGTTAGGAATGCACGAGACCGACGCCAAGGATGAGAAGAGACACCAAGGTCTAGCGTAGTTCAGCCCTGCGCGAACCTGCACGAGGCCTCGCCGTCCGTGGGGGAGCTGCGCACTGCCAATCGGCGGTGGACAAACCTCCCTTTAGTGAACCTCCCCTCAGTGAAAACGGCCTGGGACCGAAACCGACGGACCTGGACCCGCAAAAGTGACGGCCGCGACGCCCTCTCGCGAACCGAAAACGGCCAATTCCTTATTCGACGTGTCAGGGTAGGAGGTCTACTCCAGATTTCGTAATAAAAGGGAGGGGGTCTGGACCCTCCAAGACAAGCCATTTCAGACCTCCCCCGTGGGAGGACCCCCCAGGCCCTCCAAGATAGCCTGGAAGAGACCCCCCCCCGAAATGAGACCCCCCTCCCTTTACTACGAAATCTGGAGCATCCACCTCCGAGCCAAACTGTCGCCAGAACCCCCTCGATGCCCTCAACGCCATCGGTGACCGACGCGTTCGAAGATGATCCGGCGGGCCGCGCGGGGCACCGCGCACTCGCCGCGCGCGGCGCTCCGTCGGGCACGCTCGGGCCTGCGCGCGCGCCTCCGCCGCCGCAGCAGACTGCGCCCAACCACGGAGCTCGCCATCGCTCGGACGTCATTTTTATGTTTGTGTTTTTTTTGGCTTCGCGCGTGGCTTTCTCGCCAAATGATCAAGGATGCTCCTCGATTGTCCTCGCCGAGGAAAACACGCACACGTCCGAGCGATGCCAAGGGAGAGCGAAGAGGCACGCAGCGGCAGGCGGTGCCAAGGCGCGCAGGGGCAAGAGAGAAGGGCGGCCGCAGCAGGAGGGCCGCGGGTCTTGCCACGGCGCGAGGGTGGGCGCCCGCGCGCCCCCCTTCCCCCCGCCGCCTCGGCCCGAACGGCGGGCGGCGGCCGCGCGGCGGCCTGAGGCCGCCCCTCTCTTCCGCTGCACGGGCGCACTGCGCACGGGGGGGGGGGGGGCGACTGCTGCCCGGGCGACGAGGACGCCGAGGAAGAAACACAGGGCGGACGCCTGCGCCTAAAGGCGCCACAAGGGGAAACGGGTCCTGACGGGAACGGGCCCTGGGACCACCTCCTCATCCCGAGTCGTTTTCTGACAAGGTCCCGGGGCGCGCGGAGGGCCCCGGGCCGCCCCAAACCGCGGCAAACCTCGGCACCCGCCTCCGTCAGGACCCCTTCCCCCCTGGCGACCAGAAGGAGCGCGCAGGCGGCCCCAGCCTCAGGTCGGGCGTGTCCTCCTACAGGCGGGTTATGGGCGACAGATAAGACACAGCCAAGCCATACTTTTAGAACAGATGCCCAGACATGCAGAGAACAGACCGTCCCCAGACTGGTGCTTGACCATGCGGGGACACTCCTCCTGCAGGTGGGCAAGCTCGAGCTGACCCCAGCGTCGCCGCGGCGCAGCGGGAGCGCCGCTTCTGGGGGGCGCTGGCGGCGGGAGAGGCGCCCTCGAGGCGCGCGGCCCCGCCGCGGCGCGCGGCCCCCGGGCCGCCCGGCCCGCGCGCCCGAGCCTCCACGAGGACCATGGACGGGCGCGTGTTGAGGTTCACCTCCGCCGCGCGCAGGACCGGGCACGGGCCGGGGCAGGGCGGGCGGGGGGGTCCCTGCAGAGTCGTGTCGGGCCTGTGCCGCTGCGGGAGGCAAGCTCAAGCATGGTCCAGCAATGGTCTGGGGACGATGTTTTGATGACTTGTCAGGGTATGTTTGGTTTGCTGTTCTTGTTCCCAACCATCCTGTGGTGTTGGGTCCTCGTTTTGAAGAGACGGTCCCCGCGTTCTCCTCCTCTCGTGCCCCCCCCCCTCCTCCCTACCGTCCGCATGCGCCTCACGCAAAATACAGCGCTTCGTGGCCCCATAGGGAGCCCCACCGAAGGTCCCAGTGCTACCGTCCGAATGCGTCCCGCACACCCAGTACAGAGATTCGTGGCCCTCCTCCCCCTCCTCCCTGCGTTTCACCCACCCAGTACAGCGTTTCGTGGCCCCATAGGGAGCTCCACCGAAGGCCCCAGTGCCCCCGTCCGCATGCGTCCCGGAAGTCCAATTTGGCATTTTCACCCACCCAGTGCAGCGTTTCGTGGCCCCATAGGGGGCTCCACCCAAGGCCCCAGCGCCACCGTCCGCATGCGTCCTGGAAGCCCAATTTGGCATTTTCACCCGCGCAGTGCAGCGTTTCGTGGCCGCATAGGGGGCTCCACCGAAGCCCTCAGTGGGACCGTCCGCATGCGTCCCAGTAGCCCAATTTGGCATCTTCACTCCCTCAGTAGAGCGCTACGTGGCCCCATAGGGAGCTCCACCGAAGCCCTCAGTGGGACCGTCCGCATGCGTCCCGGAAACCCAATTCGGCACACCACCCACACAGTACAGCGTTCCCCCCCGCCCAGTGCAGCGCTTCGTGGCCCCATAGGGAGCTTCACCGAAGCAGATATTCACAATTACGGTACCCACAATTACGGTACCCACAATTACGGTACCCACTGCACATGGTTGGGACCTTCGCCGGGATACTTGTTTTCCTTATTTGTCGTCCAAAATGCGCCTCTAAGGGGACATGCGCGACCTAACTGGAGAGTCCTCCGCCTCCTCCTCCGCCTCCTCCCCGCTTCCTCGCCTCTCCCACTGTGTCCTCCGGCTGCGCCCCTGCTTTTGCGGCGCGCGCAGGAGGGGTACGGGGGAGGGAGGCAGGCTTCTTCGAAGGAGGCTGTCTCTGAAGGCGCCGGCCTCACACCTACAGTCGGGGCGTTGACCTAAGGAACCCGAAATCAGGAACGAGGCCCCTTTTTCTCCACAAGTTAAACTTCGATCTACCATTGAAAACCTGAGGAAAACCCCGGGCAAGCTGTAAAACAATCAAGGAACACGGAGCCCCTTCCCAACGAACAGGGTTCCTTCTTCAGTGCCCCGACCGTATAGGGAACAGGCCCGCGCCTTCTAAGAAGCAGGGGGGGGTCGAAGAAGCCTTCCCCCCCCCCCGCCCCTGCCCCTCTCTGCGCGTGGCTGACCGCCTCCTCGTCGTCCTCCATCTCCATCTCCTCCATCTCCATATCCTCCTCCTCCTCCTTCTCCTCCTCCTCCAGATCCTCCTCCTCCTCCTCCTCATCCATCTCCTCCATCTCCATATCCTCCTCCTCCTCCTCCTCCTCCTCCTCCTCGATATGCCTTCGCCTTCCCCGCGTCCAGGCTTCGCATGCAGGACGCGGGTCCTGGAGGGAGGGGGGCCTGGAAAACTGGGAGAATGACTCGTAGATTCCAGCAGGCGCTCCCTTTCCCATGAGCATTATGTTTCCAAATCCTACAGAGAAAACAATGTTTGCTGTGTACTGCACAGGGGCTCCATTCTGTCGCAAGGATTCCTCCCACTATTCTATATATATATATATATATGTATATGTATATACCATGGTGTTTTGTTCCCGGGGCACGAGCACGAGAGAAGCACCACAAGAGAGGACATGGGAGGCCAAGCTTCGTACCACTTTCCCTCGGGTCTCGTTTTTCAGTAAGTTGGGACGCGCACAGACATACTAGTACTGTATGTTCTCCTTGGATGCGCGCGTCCGACCCAAACATATAATATACCGATCTTGTAGTATTTTTTCCCGAGATGTGTGGCCAGAAAGCAACCGTCACGACGCATATACTATAAGATTTCTCGGTGCGCGCGTCGCCCCTGGGGGGGCGACGCGCATAGTATAAGTATGTTGGCGTGACGCCGAGAAGTGTTCCATCCCTGGCCCACCCTGGCCGGTGTTTCGAGCCGCGTCGAGCCGTGGTGACGACGAGCCCCCGCAAGGGATCACATCAGAAAGGGAGTGCGAGCAGCAGGGAGGGGCCCGAGGCAATGTGTGCGAGGACGAGGGGATGGGCTGAACAAGAAGATGGGGGCCATAGCCATCGGTCGGAACAAGTAGGCTTAGATCGGGCGTGTCCCCCTACAGGCAGATTTTCGATGAGGAATTTGCAATAGTTAATGAATGCTCCAAGATGGTCCAACATACTCAACAAATCGTCCGCCTACTGTTTCTCTCTATTCTTGGATATTCCTCCTGTAGGGGGACACGCCCGACGAAAAGGTAGGTAGAGACATGAAGTAGGAAGGCGTTGACAGTAGATCGGGTGTCCGCCCGCCCCCTGAAGAGGGCGGAAAAGGTGAAGCCACTCAGTCATCGAAGTAGGAAGGCGCTCAAAGTGGATTGGAATCTGGGACTCCAAGGATACCTACTTTGAACGACCGATGGGCAATGACGGGGAAGTGTCATGGCCCTGGCAATGATGCCCGCGCGCCCCTGCCCCTGATCCCCCTCCCGGGCGCCCCCGACATTCCACCATCCTCTCAGCGGCAGGATGCCCAGAGGGGGAAGTGAGAGGTGGCAGGCCCTCTCAGAAGGCGCCTTCGGCGCCGAAGACGCAGGCGCTTTCCCGGAAGACTCGAGGGCCTCTGAGAAGCCCCGCCGCCTTCTGAGAAAGTCTGCCCCCTCTCGCTTCCCCCCTGGGCCTCGCCGCCGACCTCTGCCACTCCTCCGCGATCCGGGTCGCCACGCCCACTCGTCTGACGCCCACGCTGTCGGTGTCCATGTCGACGGCCTCCCGTCTCCCTGCTGAGAGCGGTCGTCGTCGTGGTCATCGCCGTCGTCCTGCTGGAGCCCATGGGCTGGAGGGAGCACGAAGAGCGTGGCTGAACGGGGACAAAACCCTCCGAAAGACAAAACACGTACTCCCGCACTGGGGTACCCCCACTGCCACGACGAATCCAAGCAGGCTGCCAGACGGAGCGTACGAAGGAAAGCTGGTGGTTTGTGCGACTTGGCATGACCCTGGTAGCGAATGCGAGGGCCGAAAGCTGTCTCGAACACTGTCCTCCGAAATCAACAACTGTCACTTCAACCCTGTCTGCTGGACCACTACGCACGGGAACGAGCGCCGGCACGACGTGCATATCTTCCACCCCCTCTTCGAGACGTGGGGCCTCTGTCACGTGACAGGGGAAGGCGGAGGCGGAGGAGCGGCAACAGCAGCATCAGCACAAAGCTAGCCTCGCAATCAGACTTGGAATATATGATGTGTCCCATGTTCGACTGTATCGTGGCCTGCACGATGTAAACACGCTCGGAGTGGAGCTGGAGAACGCCTATCCTAGCGCCGTCTGCCAAACGATGCATCCAGCTCCGCCAGAGCGGCGCTGAATTTGTCAGAACTGTGGCTCGGGACCCCTTGATCTGCCGTGAAGCCTTCGACGTTGCTCCGCCGTCCACAGGATAGGAGGGTGGAAACGAAAATGGGGCCACCATGGGACTCCATGGCAAAATGTTTTAGAATGTGTGGAGCGAAACCACCGCTCCGAAGGCCGCGGGGAGAGTCCTGGGAGCGCCAAATAGCGCCCCCGCCCCCCTCCCCCCCTCTGGCGTCAGGCGTACAGCCAGTCCGTTTCCAGGGTTACCCTTACATCATTACCCCTTCGGCCCATCCATAGCGACTTGCACTGGCCAGCCTCGCACGAATAACGTTACACGTCGGTCGGAAGAAGTATGTAAAACGAACATGAATTGTGAAGACGGGTAAACTAGATTGGGTCAAGGACCTCCCAGATAATAACAACACACAGCAAAAACACATCGCCTCCTGAAAGTAGAGGGCGCCCGAAATAGGTTAGGATCTGGGACGCGCCCGTCGAATGAGGAGGGGGAGGAGGGGGAGGAGGAGGAGGAGGAGGAGGAGGAGGAGGAGCAGGAGGAGGACGAGGAGGAGGAGGATCGGACAGACTGATGACTCCATTGAGGGGCACGGCTAGGCCAAGCCCCCAAGAGAGCCACAAACTATACTATATGGTTATCTCCTGGGCCCTGGCGGCCCGTGCCCGCCGATAGGGACCCCCGCACGGGGGTGGCAGGAGCCCTGGAGATTAGCGAGAGCCGTCATTCGGATACGGCTAGAGGCCCAGGTCACTTGACCCAGGCAGTCGCTCAGCGTGGGCGACTGGCGAGTGGATGCTGATCCACCGCATCGCAAATAATAAACATACGGGCCCTCGGTGACCAAGTGGTGGCCACGAGAAAGCTCATACGGGGGCTCGGCGGCTCCCGAGGCCCGCAGGAGCCTGGAGGAGCCCAGGCTGGCCACCGAGGCCAGCTCCCCAGAGGGGACCCAAGGGAAGGAGGAGAAGGAGGGGAATCTGGATCTGGACCATATGAGTACCCCTGATCTGGCCAGGACTCGGCAGCACAGCATGCAACTACAGCGAAGGAAACCACATGCCACTCTTTGGGGACAACCCTCGCGCGAGGCGAGACAATACGCTGGCACCAGCTTGTGGGGCCAACAGACGGCCTGCCTTCAGCGCGGGCCTTCGCAACATGACACTCTTCGCTCAGGAGCTGGGCGGTGGAGACACAATATCGCCCGCACGCTCGGCAGTACAGAACGCCCCAGAGAACCGACAAATCGTGCGAGGAATGGGCCCTCATAGCCGCAGGATGCGCAATTACAGCTTCGCGCCCAACCTGCGGTCTCACCTCGCGCGCCCCCAAACATCTACCCGACCGGAAATTGCAGACCTGACCGCGAGTAGCATCAAAGGTGCCGCGACAAACAGTGCACACAAATCGGGTTCCATGCATCCGAGGGGCGTGACCTGCAGCGATCAATCTCTGCTTGCGCGTGAAATGAGATGTGACAGCAGGAGGCCGGGGCGGGGGCGACCAACACGATCAGACTGCAAACGCCGGCAGGTCAGGCTGACCTCTCGGGTCACAACCAAAAGACGATTTAAGACGCGCAAGGCCAAATCATCAACCTCGTGCAAAACCTGAACATGCTCCTCAGGAATCTCACCTAAGGCGGCAGCCTTCCCAGCAAAGAAATCAGCACAAACACTCAAGAACAACTCAACCTCAGAGATGCCCCAAGCCTCACGGGCACTACGACTTGAATGAGCTTCGGTCCAGATCACCTCGACACGGCCACCACGAGCGTCGAGGAGGTCCCAGATTTGGACCCAGAGGTCCAGCATCGGGGAGGATTTGGCCACCCAAGATCGATCCCGTCTAAGGCCCCCAACAAGAGGAAGATAGAGAAGATGAGGAGGAGAAGGAAGAGGAGAGGGAGAAGAAGGATGATGATGATGAGGAGGAGAAGGAGGAGGAAGGAGACAGGAGGTGAAGAAGGAGGAGGGGGAGGAGGCAGAGGAGGAGGAGGAGGAGGAACAAGAAAAATAGAGGAGGAGGAGGTAGGTAAGGAAAAGAAGGAAGAGGAGGTGGAGGATGAGGAGGATGAGGAGGATGGGAGCAAGATGGGGAACATGAGAAGGAGGGTGAGTGGGAAAGGAAGGAGAAGGATGAGGAGGAGGAAGAGGAGGAGGAGGAAGCGGAGGAAGAGGAGGAGAGGGAGGAGGAGGCGGAGGAGGAGAAGAGAAGAGGGAGGAGGAGGGGGGAAAGGAGAGGAGGAGGGGAGTATGAGGAGGAGAGAAGGAGGGGGAGGATGTGGAGACGGAGGAGTAAGAGGAGACGAGGAGAAATGGGATGAGGATGAGGAGGAGGAGGAGGGGACAGGGTAGTAGTAGTAGCAGCAGCAGCAGCAGCAGCAGCAGCAGCAGTAGTAGTAGTAGTAGTAGTAGTAGTAGTAGTAGTAGTAGTAGTAGTAGTAGTAGTAGTAGTAGAAGTCGTAGAAGTCGTAGTAGTAGTAGTAGTAGTAGTATTAGTAATTAGTAGTAGTAGTAAAGTAGGTAGTAGTAAGTATAGTAGTAGTAGTAGTAAGTAGTGGTAATTAGTAGGTAGGTAGTATTAGTAGTAGTAGTATTAGGAGTAGTAAAGAAGTAAGTATAGTAGTAGTGTAGCAGGTCGTAGTAGTAAGTAGTAGTAGTAGTAGTATTTAGTAGTAGTAGTAGTAGTAGTAGATAGTAGTAATGGTAGTAGAAGTGTAGTCGTAGTACTAATGAGTAGTAGTAGTAGTAGTAAGTAGTAGTAGTAGTAGTAGTAGTAGTGGTATTGGTGTTACTAGTGTAGTAGTAAGTATGTAGTATAGTAGTAGCAGTACGTAGTAAGTATTCGTAGTAGTAGTAGAAGTCGTAGCAGTAGTAGTAGTAGTAGTAGTAGTAGTAGTAGTAATAGTAGTAGTAGTAGTAGTGGTAGTAGTAGTAGTAGTAGTAGAAGTAGACGTAGCAGCAGTAGCAAAAGAAGCAGTAGTAGTGGTGGTAGTAGTGGTAGTAGTCGTAGTCGTCGTCGTCGTCGCCGCAGTAGTAGTAGTCGTAGTAGTAGTAGTAGTAGTAGTAGTTGTTGTAGTAGTGGTAGTGGTAGTGGTGGTGGCAGCAACAGCAGCAGTAGTAGTACTAGTAGTTGTGGTCGTAGCACTAGCAGCAGCAGCCGTAGTAGTAGTAAAACTACGCGCAGTAGACGTACCAGTAGAAGCAGCAGCAGCAGCGGCAGCAGTAGTAGTAGTAGTAGTAGTAGTAGCAGCAGTAGTAGTAGTAGTAGTAATAGTAGCATTAGTAGTAGTCGTAGTAGTCGTAGGTAGTAGTAGTAGTAGTAGTAGTAGTAGTAGTAGTAGTAGTAGTAGAAGTAGAAGTAAAAGTAGAAGTAGTAGTAGTAGCCGTAGTAGTAGTAGTAGTAGTAGTAGTAGTGGTAGTGGTAGTAGTAGTAGTAGTAGTAGTAGTAGTAGTAGGTAGGTAGTAGTAGTAGTAGTAGTAGTAGTAGTAGTAGTAGTAGTAGGTAGTAGTAGGTAGTAGTAGGTAGTAGTAGGTAGTAGTAGTAGTAGTAGTAGTAGTAATAGTCGTAGCCGTAGTAGCAGTATAGTAAGTAGCAGTAGAGTAGCATTAGTAAAGTAGTCGTCGTATCGTCGTAGTAATCGTAGTAGTAGCTAGTAGTATATCAGTGTAGTAGTCGTCGTAGTAGTCGCAGTAGTAGTAGTAGCACTAGCAGTAGTAGTAGTAGTAGTAGTAGTAGTAGTAGTAGTAGTGGTAGTGGTCGTAGTAGTAGCAGCAGCCGTACTAGTGTAGCACCACCAGTACTAGTAGTAGTCGCAGTGGTAGTAGTGGTAGCCATGGTAGCGGTAGTAGCAGTAGTATTAGTAGTGGTGGTGTTGGTGGTAGTAGTAGTAGTTGCGGTTGTAGTCCTAGTAGTGGTCGTCGTAGTAGTGGCAGTCGTAGCTGTAACAATAGTAGCCACAGTCGTAACAATAGCAGTTGAAGAAGTAGTGGTAGCCGTATTAGTAGGCGTAGCACCAGTAGTAGGAATAGTAGTAGTAGTAGCAGTAGTAGTAGCAGGGGTAGTCGCCGTAGTCGTGGTAGCAATAGTATCAGTCGTGCTAGTAGTAGTAGCGGTCGTCGTCGTAGTCGTAGTAGTCGTAGAAGTAGCAGCAGTAGCAGTAGTCGCAGTAGTGGTAGTGGTCGTAATAGACGAAAGCAGTAGTAGTAGTCGTCGTAGTAGTCGTATACGCAGTAGTATTAGCAATACACGTAGCAATAGCAGTAGTCGTAAAAAAAAGTAGTAGTAGTAGTAGCAGCCGTAGTAGTAGTAGTAATCGTCGTCGCCGTAGTAGTGGCAGGAATAGTCGCAATAATAATCGTAGTGTCCGTAGTAGAAGTA